CGCTGGATGCGACGGCTGCAGCCCGCTCCCCGCGGGGACACGGGAAGCCCCCGTGCTGCCGCTCTCCTCGCGTCCCGCCCCGGGACGCGGCTCCGTCGGGAGGATCCGGATCCTTATGAAAGGCCGTTTCACGGCGAGCTGGCACCGGGGGTGCCATGCGCCGCTGGGCACCGCTCCGGGACACGAACAAGGGCCTCGTTGGGGACCCTCTGGGCAGCCACAGATGAACCCGCTCGCGCCCGGAACCTCTGCAGCCCAAAAAACCAAGCTGGTGGCAGCAGAATATTCCTGCGCTTGGGCGTTACGCCAGCAAGAGAGACCCGTGCCGCTTTCTATACTCCTCTCCCACTTGGTAACATACAAAAGCGGAGGTTGCAATTCTTTTCTCTTTCATTATAAGCCTGAAATTCCCTTAATCTCGACTGCCAAACATTGGAAAGCTCCTTGCTAAGGCAGCACAACAGGCATTTTCGGAAAGTACCTGCGCACACTCATGGGAAGGGATAATAAATATGTTATTAAGCCAGGTTGATGCTGGAAATATTAGACTGTTGGACTGAGGCTCACGTTTAAGGTAGCACCTATAGGACAGGTACAAATGCACTGTTTAATGCCTTATAACAGCACAGCCAAAAATCAAAACTCTGGGAAAAACTCCTAGCGGAAACGTCCCGAAGGGCTTTGCTTTCCCTCCAGAGAAGGGCCGTGAAGCTGCACGTGGGATGCAGGGAAAAAGCCTCCGCCAAAGTCAAAACAAATGGCAGCGATTCGAGTTACTCGAACGCAGCGCGTTCTTGGAAGGTTTCGGTTGAAGAAATGACATTTCTCTTTCAAAACAATGACAAATTCCTGGGGAAAAGCAGTCATTAGGGAAGCTTCGGGGCGGCCAATAACGAGGTACGACGCGAGGGCTCTCTGCGACGGGACTATTCTGCACAGCTCCAGCCTCGGGCTTTGCCACCTTCCCGGTTTTCCGAACATTTGGGCATCCAGCAACAGCATTCCTTGTGCATGCAATTTCCCCTCACTTAAAGGGCACAGCTGGAGCATGGCGATTTTTAAGGACCCCCTCAAACCGCAGCACGCACAGACTCCATCCAGCGCCCGAAGGGCAACGTTCCCAGTTAAAATTACCGATACTCAACCAAAACAGACGGTCTTTGGAATAAAACTGCCCCATTTTCCAGTGGAGCTTTCACACAAGGGTTGGTGTGACCCCCTTCAGCTGTGAGACTGATCATAAAGAAATCGACCTGCTTCCGCTCGCAAAGCTCCACTTTGCCGGTCGAAACGCAACAGATTGCCATCCCCAAATGGAGTAAAGTTACAAAAGCAGAGAAACAACGTCTGAAAGCTGCAAAAGGCTAAATAAGAAAGGCTGCCTGCGCGTTTCGCACACAAACGTCTGCAAGTAAGAACAAAAAAGCACTAGCAAAGAAAAGGGTAATCTGTTTGCATGGTGTGTAACCCTGTTCTCAGCTATTTTATCCTCTACGAGGACTCCCCAGTGCCAGACCCAAACCACCACCACACAGAGCCTAGTTTTATTTTCTCCCCTCTTTTTTGGGGGCGTTTCAGAACAAGCTTCAGGGAAAGGAGCAGCTGGGGGCTTAAGAAACACAGAGAGACCGGCCAAGAACGAGGCCGATGTTTGGACGCTCTCGTTTCCCCGCATCCCCCTCGCACCTCGAGGCCCTGCGCCGTGACGGAGGCTTTCAGGAGCCCCTCGGCTAGCAGGGAAGGACCTCGGAAAGAAACTGCAAGTCACGGAGCAGCCTCCACCGGGCAGCTCCCACGCGAAGCTGCCTCTGCGGAGAAGCCGGAGAAGTGTTTTAGGAAGACGGCAGCAGCGCAGATAAGGAACACGGCTCTTACCTTTCCCAGCAGCTTTCTCCGGACACCTGTGAAAGGAGAGAAGAGAGCAGTGAGGAATAACGCAGGAATTGGTTTCTAATGACGCTAGGGACCCCAATGCCACCCGCAGGGGACAGGCTGAGCCCCGACACCCCGGTGCAGACCCCCTTCCCTGGCGGGGGGAGAAGCCTTCCCGGGGAAGCAGGAAGGGCCCTGGAGAGCCGGCGGGGAAGGGGAGGCCGCGGGACCCGCGGGACACTCACCCGGCGCGGGGGGCGCCCTTCCTGGCGGCGGGCGGCGCGGGCGGCTGCTCG